CAACCCGATCCAAAATAAGTGTCTTCGTGGCTTAGACATGGAGGCAAAGAAATGCATAAAACCAAACCACATCCTAATTATCATCTTTTAAAATATAATCTATTTCAAAAGGTCAGTCTCGTGGGGTTTTCATTTTAATGTTGACATAATTAGATTCCTCTCAAAAGATAGTTTTTGATGGGAGTAAAGGCAAAAAACCACTGGAATCTGTCCTTATTGTTTAGATGTCTTGACTACAATACATTCTGCTTGACGAAGAAATATTTTGAGTTCAGGTGAAATTTTTCATTTATTATTGTGGGTTGCCAATGAGTAAGGAATTTCATAATAACTCAGAAGCATGTAGACTGAGGAGTTTGATGGTAGGCAGAACAGCATAGTGTGAGGGTAGAAAGGAAGGAAGGAGGAACAAGAAAATGAATTTTCAGAGTGACAAGACTAATGTGTAGAATAAAATATTAAAGGAGGTTCCTTGTCTAAATTAAATGCCTAAGGTATGACTTGTTTTGAGGTAGCTTGTAAACTGGTTCCCAAACTATTTAATTATTACTGTACCATTCATCTTGCCTGCCTCAAAAATATTAATCATTAAATGGTAAAATACTAGTCTGTAGTGGTAGGGTAACGTCAGAAGCGGAAACTGCAGTTCGTAACAAATTCAGTCTCTCATCATGACCTTGATTTTGTTTAGCACTCAATTTAAATCTTTTTTTTTTTTAAGATTCTTGTCGATGTTAAGAAATTGGGAATATAGGTGTTAAGTATTCTCATCTGTATGAGACATACATAATACTTCCTTAGTGCCTAGTAATGCAGTGTTTGCTCTATAGCATTTTATTTAGGAGTTCATCTTGCGGTGTAAATGCTTCTGTGAATCAATGAAAAGAAATTTACAATTCAGCAAAACTGTCTGCTTTGATGTATCACCTTACAGCAAATGAATCTCTGGAATCTGGAGGAGTAGGTATTTGTAGTGGCTTTTTAGTACCGCCTTCAGAAGGCAGTTCTACAGGAGGCAGGTTTCTCTGGCTGCAGGAGAAAGGAGGAGGTCTGGACCTTAAATGTGATAGGCTCGGGTTTGTTATGAGAGTTGAGTGACTTCATGGACAAAATTAATAACTACTATGAACAGCACAAACTCCAGAATCTGAGAAACCAACAACCTCATTAAAGAACTGAGAAAATGCAGCGCTGTCTTTGTCTTGCTTAACCTGAGGTTCGGAAGAAGGACAGAGACTTGACTTTCCTCGGTGGTACCTACAGCTTATTACAAGCAGACTCAACTAACACGAAATGCTCTAACTGAATTGATTCAGCTGCATCTTGGCAAGAGAAAGATTCGGTGTTTTTCATACGGTTTCATGAATGATGCTGTCCTGTTTTGGAGACCTGAAATAAGCAACAGTCTGTTTGAAAATAATTGATTTGATGTCAGAGAGGAATTGTGCTTGATCTGGTCACTGCTTTTGCCATGTGGATGAAAAAGAACAAACTGCGAGTGAAGTTACAGGTTTAAAACTTTGTTTCATCAGCTGCCTCTTCTTTCCTAAGTATAGTGTAGTTACTTTAAGTGAAAGGGGAACTTACTGGTGTTCAGGGAGGTAAATGTTAAAAGATTTCTCATAGAGCATTTATATTTAAATGGTTAATTATCACTGTTTCCCATGTTGTTGTGCTTCGCCATGTACAAAAGGTTTTTAGACATTACACCTTCTAAATGTAACGTTTTACAATAGTTATAGCTTCTTCAAGGAGCAGCTAATATTTGCATTCATCTTATAATTAATCTTCTATACTCTACATAATGCAAAATAATGCAGTTCTTTTTCCAGGCATTATAAGGTACACTTTCAAATATGCTTATTTAAAGCAGTAAAAGTTCTGAGCTTTTGGATCAGACTGTTTTTATTTTGTTTCTGGTGCTTTTACAACCAGTTTCTTATTGTCATTGTGCATTCTAGGTTACATACTTAATTTAGAAAATCTGCGATTTTCACTCAGTGAAATTTTTTTTGTTTGTTGCTTGTTTGTTTGTGGTAGATTTTTTAGTTGGGGTTTTGTTCATTTGTTTGTTTGGGTTTTTTTACCTTGAAGTATGCACAGCCATACCACTTGTTGCATCTTGGATATATTTTTGACAAGATTTCTTAGCAGAATAAAACATCTCTTTCTTGGACAGCGTTACACTGAAATTTACTGATGGAAAGAGAATGAGCTGTTAGTGCTGTTAACTTAAACTGACGATCAAAGCAGAAAGGAGGGAAGCCTTGGGAAGACTTTGCATGGTCTGATTAGAGTTGTAGATTTTTGAAACAGAGCGTATGTGTGTTGAGAAAATAATTCACACACGTGCCAAGTCTTTTTACTTTTACCACCAGTGATCCAGAGGGAACCCTCCAAGCCTTTTAAGAATTACCTACAGAATCCAGCAGAAGCAGATATAGACGTTTAGGTTTTTCTGGCAGAAGGACATGCCAGAGGAAGTCAGCAGAGCCTGAACATGTTCTGGGAGCAGCATCTGGTTTCTCTGTGTTATTTTCTTGTGTCCACTGAGCACATTTTGGTTTGTGGGTGGCACTTGGAAAAGCTTCCTTACTTTCTTACCCAATTAATGCCTTTCAGTCTGTACTTAATAATAAGATGTCTCTCTGACTTGTATGCACTTGTGGCCAACAGCTAATAAGTTATTTGGCCTTAAAGAATACCGTGAAGTACTCTTGTCTGTCGTAAGTCATACTAATAAAAAAAGCACACGCTACTAAGTTCAATCTTTTTTTTAATTAGTGTATTCACTAACAAAGTGTTGAAATAGAGAATTAGTGTTTTGGGTGGATTTTGCCTTTTATTCTAGTTCCACTATTTTATATAGCTATAACTGTAAATAAATATATAGACTTTTTTTTTTAACTAACTTCTCTACCATAAATAGTTTTCATTATGGTTGACTAGTAAGAGGAGTTTCAGCTGTTGTATCAAGTAAGAATTATCCTTTCGCTCCATGATCTGTTCAGTAGGAAGCATTCAAAAGGGGACAATAAATTTGTCTAAAAATTTTAGTCTTAAATGTCTGTATTATACATCAAAAGTGCAGCAACTTTAGAAGTTAGTTTTCCCAATCTGGCTTATTTTAATGATGGGCCTTGAGGTGTGTATCTTACCTGAATAATTGTGTGCAGAGACATGAAATATTAATTGGAGTTCGAGGTGGGGGGGCGAGAAATCGGTTATTTTATAACAAATATTATTTTCCTTTCCTGACTGAAGCCTAAAGAAACAGTTCTGTATTATGCATTGATTGGAGAACTGACACCTAATTAGGAATTTGATGTAGGAATATGAAACAGGCTATTCACAGTGACTGAGTTACTTCGGTATCAACAAGATGTTAGCGGAGAATTTTACTTTATTCTTAGAATGAAGTACAAGTGTTGCAGGGGACACGCTGTCAGACAGGATCACTGCAGAACTGCTTTGGAAGTCAGCAGTCTGGGCCCAGAAAAGCAAAGCAGCTATGTCTGCTTTCCTCTGGGATCAGGTTTGATCGCATCCACAATCTGATGCTTGACTGATTGGGGTGGGGAGGTGTTTGGTTTGGGGGTTGGTTTTTTGTGTGTGTCTGTAAAACGTTCAGACCTCGTTCAATTTTGTAAGCATTAATTTGAAACAGAATTTTATTTATCAATATATCCAGAACATTTAATTATCTTTTCTTTTTCAGCAGTATTGACTATATTTGGGATAGGAAATGATGTAATTTTAATTTGTTCTACTGCTAGTGTGGTCATTTGGTTTGGTAAAAATACTACATTGTTTATTTAATTATTACAGTGTAGTAATCCACCTTCTACATTGATCCAATAAATTGACAGAATTACACTTAAATACCTTGAAACAGATGTTGGGCCATTCTGGACTTTGCAGCATAATTTTTCTAAGGCTGGTATTCTCTTTCTGTGCAAATTCTGAGGTTGTGGGTTCTGGTTTTCTGAGTCACAAAGCAGGTATTGGGCAAAGTGTCAGCCTCTGGAATTTGTCTTGCTACATGGCACTGGTTCCTATGATTACATAGTAAAAAATGTGATTTAAGTAATTAAATGTGTAGATTAAATTATATTTGTTGATAGAACTATGAATATACTGAAACAATGCATTAATTTAAAAACACACAATACTTAGTCACACAGGGTCAGAGCATCATATAAATTTAAATAATCTTCAGCAGTTGCCTCTCTACCCCAGTTCTGTAAATTATCTGTTAGTTTTGGAATGTAAAAGCCCCACTAATATCTTGTCTTTTAATTCAAAGTTTGCTCAGTAATAGCCACTTACTTATCCAAAGGGATCAAGTTAACTTTGCTTCACTTTGTACTGGCTGTTTTTCACTGATTCTTACTTTAAATGCTCCAATCTGCTAGGAAATTTCACCGTCTTCGGATGTGAGCTTAGCGACAGCCTTTATCTAAGGGTTTTCCTGTGGCCTTGTCCTGTGCTAGGTAAATAATGCCAATTGCCAGCTGAGGCTGCCGAGCCAGTTACACTGAAAGTGTTAGGAAAGGAAAGAAGCTTCAGATTCCAATTACTGCTTAAAATACCCTGCAGTTAAAATTACTGTTTAAAATAGCCTGTGTTAAAAAACATTGCATGCGTGTTATCACATGTGGCATACCAGCGCTGTGTACCAGTTCTGCAGAACGTGGTCGCGGAGCAGTGTTAAATGAAGTATTGAGGGCTTTTTAAAATCTCATTTGTTTTGTCTCTCTGGTGTTTTCCTTCCATCAGCTTTTCCCCCGTTTGCTTTTTCTGTCCCCAGTATGTGCATGGTCTGTGTCCTTTCTTTCTGCACTGAGGTTCCTTACTCTTCCATAAGTATCTATCGTTGTTATTCCCCTTGAGGACTGGGGAAGAGGCTTTAGCCTTCCTCTGGGAGCAGGGATTTAGCTTCTCCAGTCAGAACACTTCATCCACGTCAACGCATTCATGTAACGTTTTGTGTTCTGCAGGTTGGAAATCCACGTGTTGAGCTCACTCTTTCTGAACTTCAAGATATGGCTGCCCGACAACAGCAGCAGATTGAAAATCAACAGCAAATGTTGGTTGCGAAGGTAATAATTATATACAGATCATAATAAACTCAAATTTCCTTCAGCGTATACAAATATGTTTCATGGATACAGAAAAACAGGCTAATTCATTCTAGATAATCTCAGGAAAGAGTTTGAGAAATCCATTGTTTTGCCAAGTTAATCTGGGTAATACCCAACATTTCAGTGTAAAAGATACTACAGCAACCTATGTCAAGCCAAGTGATGTGTCTTTATAAAAATGCTGCTGGGTTTTGTTTGTCTCTCTTGAGAGGCCCACTGCATGATCTGTGATAGACCATGCTTGACTCTGCTCTCCTTTAGAAGCTCGTTCACTCCGGTATAGTCACAGTGATGTGAGATGAGAATCTGCCCACTTCGTATATATTCATGTATTACATTTCCAAAGTCTCTGAGATATAAGTAACCAAGTAGGTTTTCAAAATGTGGAGTGGGTTTGGTGTTTTTGACATTGCTGTAGGTGTTGTAACGTACAGTATGCTTTGGATGCTTGGAGTACCTAGGAATCAACCTATCAATTCTGTTGTTCTCTTAATGGAAATAATGGAGAAAAATAAATAAAAAAAAAACCTTTCCTTGTGTGCCCAGAGGAAGGACTGTAATTTAGAACTGGAACGTTATCTTACAGTAAAATGGTGCATTGGACAGATTTTGTGGTTTTTGGAAAGCTGGATATAACAGCATTGGAAGTGCATTTTGCAACAGCAGGAGAAGTGTTAATAGCAGCAGAAAGCAAATGCCAGAGGATCCTTCACAGATCTGTTTGAATGAGTGTTCAGGCTAGGCTTGTGTTTGCACATGCATGTAAGTGTGGTATTTGGTCTAAAAGAATCTCTGCTCTAAAACAGAGTCATTCAATTAATGTTAAGAGTTTTTCTGGGAGAACTGATACATATTTTAACTAGATACAGTTTTTTCTGATTTCTAGAAATAAAACAAACCCACTGATCATAGTGATGGGATTTTCTAAGTTAGTTGGGTTTTTTAAAGCAAATGGGTAACCGGTACTTATTGTCTAAAACCTCATTTTGTCAGGAGCAACGTTTGCGTTATCTGAAGCAGCAAGAACGTCGTCAGCAGCAGTCTGTTTCTGAGAGTGAAAAGCTTCAAAAACTTAAAGAACGTGTTGAAACCCAGGAGACAAAGCTGAAAAAAATCCGTGCCATGAGAGGACAAGTGGACTACAGCAAGATCATGAATGGCAATCTGTGTAAGTGGAATTTTAAAGTAAATTCAATTTATTTTACTATTCACTGCATGACTAGCAAATAAATAAGCAAGATTTAAGATAGAATGGTTTTTATCTTACAGAGGATTCTGTATTTCTAGAAATTTTGTGCATGACGTAGCTTTTCCCTTGTTCTATACAGTCAGTCAGAATATTTATAACTATTAGGATATACTATGACTGTTAGCAAATTCCCAACACATAAATATTTTATATGTGTATGCATAGACTAGGTTTAAAACTAGTGTGTTGTGTTTATAGATACCTGTAGAATTAAAAAATTAACAACTTCTGCTTTACTTACTATTTTTTGTTATTTTTATCTTGTTAATTTTAGCAACTGAAATTGAGCATATAAGTGCCATGTTCCAGGAGAAGCAGCAGGAGCTACAGGCTGCAGTGTTAAAAGTGGATCAGCTTACTCAGCAACTGGAGGATTTAAGGAAAGGGAAACTGAATGGCTTTCAGTCTTACAACGGACAGATGACGGGACCTGCAGCACTAGAATTAAAAAAGTTGTATCAAGAGCTACAGGTAAGTAATGGAGACATGCTGTTTGGATGATAGCTGTAGATTTTAAAAAGCTCTGTGATGCTCTTAGGGGTGGCCACATGGTTCAGTGTGTGGTTCAATTCTTATAAAGTTGGTGGAGTGGAATGCTGTTAATGTGTGATGTAGTTAGCATATACCCCTCTGCAAAACAGAATTTCATTAGCTTTAAAAACTATTTTTATTGTTGTTCATAACTCATAGTAATACAAAGCGTGCAAGTGTCCTGAAGGGCATTTCTCAGCCCCTGGTACTGCAGTACTGTGAAATACTGAATATGGACATCTCAAGTGTAGTGCTCACAAGGGTCATTCAATGTTCCATTTAAACTGACGTTTTGTCCTGTTGTTATGTTTAGAAGTTATGGAATACTTAATTGTGTGCCAGTGTGGCAGGATTTGAGGGTTTTTTATTTTTTCATGTACTTTATTGTGATCAAGGCAACACCTCTAATATATATTTAATATGTCAAAATTATTTAAAATTTCAAGTTTAATCTCACTTATTTCTTTATATGAGCAAATGCAACGTACAGATTAATCCATCACATGAATTCATGTTTCCGTGACTTAAGGATAAAGATCTCTTCTCCCTCTTTTTCCCTTTTCCCTGCTGATAACAAGGCTTACAGAATCGTAGAGTGGTTTGGAAGTGACCTTTAAAGGTCATCTAGTCCAACCCCACCCTGCAACAAGCAGGGACATCTTCCACCTGATCAAGTATCTTTCGAGTATTTGTAAGTGTAAAGATGCTCAGTAGATTAAGATTTTGCTCTTGTGCTTCACAGTGATCCCAGACATGTTAATCAAGACTTAAATTTGCCTCAGTTTTTTTCTGTATGTAACATTACCGTGAAAATTGGAACACTGAGACAATACAGTCAGAGTTATTGAAGATATGAGCAAATGCCAGAGGGAAAGCAAGAGAAATAATTATAAAGAGTGTCATGGTTGATTTAAACCATGAAGGCAGTCCGTCCCCTCATCTTACTGGAAACCTGCTGTGAAGGTTTCAGTTTAATTCCCATGTAGAGGAAAACCAGTGCCCAGTCCCTGCACCCCCCATCCAGACATCAAGAAGTATATCATGTGGAACTGAAAACAGAATCAATAGCATGATTTCTGTTACAAGTTTTACATCACTTAATTTTCATGATATTCAAACTGTTTTGGTGGTTAAACGTAACTTTTAACAAACATTTTCTGTGACAGTTTGTCACTGTGTGATTCAGTTCTGCAATGTCTTTATGCCTAATTCTTCAACCCATTTGCTATAAATGGGTTGCAGTCTATCTGTATTTAATAGGTATCCACTACTTTATTAGGACATTCTTTTGCTGCTTTCTTTCAAGGGTTGTTCATGGTTGCAAATGCTTACTTGAGAGGCTGTGTGGAAGTGTAACATTAGAGACATCAGAACGCAGCCGAATCAAGTCGCTTTGGGTTTTTTAACACTGTTAAAAAACAACTTGACAACAGACAAAATGAAGTAACTGTCCTAACAAGGGCCTTTTCTTTTTTAGATCCGTAACAGGCTTAACCAGGAGCAGAACTCCAAGCTTCAGCAGCAGAAAGAACTCTTAAACAAACGTAATATGGAGGTGGCTATGATGGACAAGAGAATCAGTGAGCTGCGTGAACGACTTTACAAGAAAAAAGTTGAGGCACGTCAAAAAGAAAACATTCCTGTAAGATAAACTGTTAAAAGGGCCACGTTTTAGTTTATCAAGAGCCTATAAAAGCTACATAGAGTCTCACTTTTTCCCAGCTGAGTGGGAAAATACAATTACATCTAAAAAACCTATTTGAAAAGTGGCAGGCTTCTTAAAACTATTTTAAGGTTTTGCATAGATATCAGAAAACTGTTAGAGAGAATGTGTTTCCTTTTTATTTTTTCCTTTATGGCAGAGACCATACTGTATTAAAAACTACCGTAGTTTATATTTCTGGGAAGGAAAGTGTGATTATAGGCTGTTTTTCAAAATGTGAAAGCTCAAAAAGTTTGGGTTTTATAAAATATTGATCTTCTGGCATGGAAAATTGATAAGAATATAGATGGTCTGATAAAGTTAGTCTTAATAGTTGTCTGGAATTTTGAAAATCAGCTGCACAGTAGAGCATTTGTCTAAGGATTATAGGGATTAGTTCTGGATTCCCATTTGTATTCCTAGCTGGAAATATTCTTTTAAAAAATCCAAAACATATATTTGATCAGTTAAGAACTCATTTTAGTCCATTTGCCTAACAAAAGCACAGTGAAAGAGACCTTATACGGATTAATTTCTACAAGTTTCTACAAGTTTCTACAAGAAATTTATGTGCTATGGCTGAGGAATTTAATTTTTGAGGTGTTGATGCTAGGAAGTACAAATTTTATTCCCTACTGTTTTGTTGTTGTTGGTAGAACCATGCAGTATGGCAACTTAATTATTAAGGATTCTTAGCAACAGTGCAAGGTTCTAGGTAATGAAATCTAGATCTCCTATTCATGCACAAATACCTAGGTTAAATGGAAGTTCACATTTCAATGTGTCTGATGTTTTTTTAGTTGAATCGTATTAATGGAACTTCATCACCCCAGTCATCCTTGAGTGCTTCGGGAAGGGTGGCAGCAGTAGGACCTTACATCCAAGTTCCGAGTGCTGGCACTTACACTGTACCAGTAGATCCAGTTAAACCACAGTCTCTCACGATTGCTTCTAGCTCAACGCATGGAAGATCAAAGTCTGGTAAGCACTGAAGTGTGTTTATTAAGACACATGTTTTGAAAAGGCGTAATCTCTGGAGACCCAGTGCTGGCATAATCTCTGTAGTGGAAGGGGCAGGTTTTAGATGTATTGATACTGTTCTGTGAAGTGGACATTAGTCATTTGATATGAAGCATTTTTGCTTCTTTTCATGAATTTCTCTTAGGGGACTGAGTGTTCTCCTAGAAATTTTACTATCTGGTACACTGTTAAAAGGAGCACATATTCCTTCACAGATTCTGTTCTGTCTTTAATCGCTTTTCAGTTACGTTCTGTTCTGAATATAATAATGAAATCAACTTTGCAGCAAACTGTATTATAAACAACTATTTACGGTATGTTGCTTTTGGTCAAGTAAGTCAAAGCTTGTCAACAAGTAAAAATAATATCGCTTCTGCAAAAGAGACTACATGGGAAAATAGTATAGAACTGTGGGAGGGTTTTGCTCCAACTGTGGTATGAGAATTTGTAGTGCTTGAAGCATTCCTGAAATGGAATAACCCTAGCTTTCATGCTCTTTACTTGTTTCTACCTTCATTAGTGAAGGAGTTGCCCCTTCAGAGTATTCCCCAGAACTTGATGTCCCAAATTGGCTCCCATGTCTCCCATAATTAATAATACCATCTACACTGGAAAATAGCTGGTTTTTTTAAATTTACTTTGGAAGCTGAAGGAAGTAGGTCATGACATTTGTGCCTCAAGTTCTCATTCTGGCAAAGCTCACCTCTGCTCGCACCGTAATGAAATCGGAATTCTGAAGAAATGGGTAGCTAGGAAAAGATGCATAATACAAATAAAAATGCACGATCCCCTGGGTCTGCCCACAGGATGTAGCTTACCTGGTCCCAGGAGAGATCTAAAAATGATAAGCAGTGACCATTGGAGCAAAGGTTCTGCAGTATTCTCGTATGTTCCAGTACTTAAAACTGAATATGCCAGCAAAGCTTGCAGCATGCTTCCATATGGAGAGGAAGAGATGGAGGGAAGACAGTATTAACATCTCTGTAGGAAAGAATTGCACGAATGCTCCCCAAAAAGTCCCCATGGTCAGGAGGTGAAACTATCCAAAGAGAACTTAAAAAAAGACCCAGTCTTTTCCATTGGTAATAGTGATTTAACAATACCTTTAGTTCAGTTCAAAGCTGGACAAACCCCATCACTGTGGTTTTATGGAAAAGCCTTAAGAATATGGAATGACTGAATTGCAGGGTGAGCTGACAGATTTCCAACAGTTTTGTCTTCAGACATATGGATTCCTCTTCGACATATGGGCAGTGGCAGCTCATAACTTTAAAGTTCACCAACCAGAAGTAATTCACTGTTTTGTAAATACCACCCTGGGGAGCTATATGCACCCGCTCCTAGATCTACCTCCGGAGGTTACAGGATCTCTGAATGCTAACTTCTTGATTTTATGAAAGTAATTATTCTACCTTAGGCCTGACTTGTGTTTATTACTCTGACTGTATTCGGATAAAGTCCTGTAAGATAGATTTATGTAGGCAGAAGCTCATATACTCCCAGGAAGAAAAGAAGTTGATAATTTTTTTTCAACTGTCGTGCTTTTATTTCTCATTATCTGAGTGTTCCTGTTCTAATTCCTCCATTGTCATTGTTACAATTTTTCCACCACTTTTTTTTTTTTTTTTCCTTCTTTCTTTTTCTGTGTAACTGGATCTGCCTTGGTGTGTCCGGTAGAGACAGACTGTGGGTGTGTGAAAAAATCTCCAGACACCTGGAAGGTTTCTGATTTAGACATAATAGTGGATCCTATTCTGTTACCTCCCACTTCTCTTCAGTCTGCTGTTCACAATGTCATCCGCCTGGCACCTACTCTCTTTGACACCCAGCACTGTGAGTCCGTAGATGATCTCTGGCTAGCTAAGAACTCAGTTTTTAATATGGTCATCTGAGCTCTTGTGTACAGATGCATATTAAACAGCATCTTCAGAACTTGCCTTGTGTTCTGGCATGCAGAGGATGCTGTCGAAATGGGAAATTGCTGAGAAGTTGCTTTTCACCTTTGAAGGAAACAGATTTGCAGCAAACTCATCCCTGGAGTACTGGAGTAGTGCACTAGGGATGGGTTTTCTTCATTGAAAAACCTCGACGTTTTCTGTTCACTGGAAGATCACGGTAATCAGCAAAGCATGTTTTGGTTTATCTCAGACCGGACAGATATATTACATGCAGGTTTAGTTTGAGCTCCTTTGTGGGAAACTGTTGAGTTTCCATTTTGCAGCTCACTCTGTCCAAGTCGGTAGCAAGAACCTTTGCTGACTTCGTTGGACAAAAAGGTTATGCTGGGTTTGAGCTTCAGCTGCTGTAGTAAGTATCCTGGATGCAGACCTACAAAACACTTTAGGTAAAATCAAAGAAAATGCACAAAACCTTTTATCTCTGTGCGTCACTGTCCTAATTATGTAAATGCCAAACGGGGTGGTGGGAGTTGAAATACGCTGGGTGGTAGGTGGTCTGACACGCGGCAGCAAAGGGGGTAGGTTTGGAGGAGAAAAGCTGTCGGGCTGAAATGGCTGTGGGGTCGCTGAGAGCAGGAGCTGGTGAGGGCTTGTCAGGAGGGTGTTGCCATCAGATGGGCGAGAGCCTCTGGGACCTGTTCGGTGTAAAAGATAGCAGAAGGCAGACGCCCTTTGGTTGCCATCTCTTTGCACCTACTGCTCAGCCTCTGGCACCGTATGCTGCAGTTGCAACAGCAGCTTCATTAGGGGCACAAGAGCCAGCTTGGCTGGGGGAGGTGCACTCCCAAAAAATGGATGGAAGTTGGCATGTCTGCCAGATTGTAACACGCAGGACGTGACGGGGGGAGCAGTTACATCCTGATGTTTATACAAGTAGAAGGAAAAAGAGAAATTAGAGAGGAGAGAGAATTTGAATTTACTTACCGCAAAAATTTGGGGATGGACATGCTAAAATTTGGAATTGGAAGGGTATAACTATCTAATAGAAGAGGGTGAGCTTGTATTTGCAAGTAAGATAATAAAATTCTTTGGGACTTCTGCTGCTGTTTCTCTAAGTGTCCTCTTTAATAGCTAAACTTATGACCAGAGATGCTTTCCTGTTTAGGGTGAATCAGTTATAACTCCTTTACTGATCTTCAGAACAAAAGTCTTACTGAACCAGCACCTTACTGGGGTTATGGAACATCCTGTGTATTTTGTACAGTAAATGTTAATTCAGTGCATACTTGGAATATTTGCCATTTTTTAGGATCAGAGTGTTTAGAAGGTCATGTTTTCAATCTCGCTCTTGATAACCAGATGATTTAAAAACAAGCAAAAACCCCAGCATGTCCACTTCTTGAGTGTTGCCAGGACTAAAGCTGGGCCTCATGACTTCACTTCCTGGTAGTTTGCAAGTGTAAAAAGGGATTTCTGGACTATATCCTGTGTTTTCAGTGTAACATTATGCAAATGTTAACCTTATTTAAGTGACTAACCACAAAAATACTCTTGCTCTGAAATAATTCTTAGAATTCAATCACAGTTGATCTAAATTTGAAAAGTTAATAAAACTGTGTGGAATATCAACGAATGGTCTGCACATATAATTAAAACATAATTAGTTCACATACAGTGAAAATGTTGGGCAGTAATTGTCAAGAAATCTTCCGGTTGTCATTTCCATGGAGGGAAAGAAAAGGATAAGGCTCATGGGTAGAAGGGAGAGTGGCGATGCTAAATTCACTGCAATTGGAATATTCCTGTGCAGCTTGTTCTTAAGACTATCTGCTGTGCTACACAGGGGATGGCAAAGAATTCCAGAATGAGCCTTGCTGATTCTGTTTTCTAGTGGTTTAAAACTGAAATGAAATGGGAAACTTTGCCATTAAATACGTGATTTTCGTTTGATGTTGTCTTACTAGGGGCTCCAGAAATCTCAGTAAACACACACACACACACACAATTTTAGTTGTTATCCTCTAGTAAAGTTAGTTAAATGTTACATGTCATCTTTATGGATTCTGCGTGTTTCACTAATATTTCACTAACAGGCAGTAGGGAAGGAGAAACAATCTCTGGTCTCCTTAAAGTGAGAGAAACCTGAAGTTTAATCTTTTAAAAGCAAATCAAAGCCTTAGGATCTAACCAAGGATCTCTCTAGTTACGATAAGACAGGTATAATGATGAAGCTATTTAGACTCTCTGGCTTTCTCAGAGAACAGAATAGTCTCCTGCAGTTAATAAAGTAACATCAATGCATCTAGGACTTCATTAAGGATTTGTTGCCTCAGTTTATGTGCAGCTATGCATGATATTTTTGCATATGATGAAGGTAAAACCCCCTGACGTGTCTTGACACTGTGAGTTGAAGTTGACAGCTGACTTTATAAATTTCTTTAACAATAACTCTCTGGAGCGGTTGTGGTGAGGGAAAACAAAAGGTAAGTCAACTGCCACTTCCAGCAAAGGAATGTATGCTTTTGTTCCACCCCATTGCTGAAATGAGTTTTTACATCCTGTTATGAGTAAATGAATCTAGTAACCATAGTTTAAATTTGGAGTAGGTCCACTCAGAGCTCGCGTAGACTTAACATTTAGCGTAATTTGATAATGTCTCCCCGTAGTATCAAACAAAATACATTGATGAAGCGTTCCTGTAAGGATTTTTGTTCTGAACTTGTTTGCCTTCTAATAGCAGAATATGCAATGCTCAAACCAAAACTTTAACTGTCTTTTTTTCTATAGAAATTTCTAATACACTTTGAATGTCCAAGGGTAACGAACAGCACATTATATGCAGTGATCAGGCCTTCAGTACTGATTTCTGAATCATTCGTAGTGATTTATCTCATTTCTGGAATCAAATTAATCCTGTTGTAACGTAACAGCATCTCACGTGTTGTTTTGCTTGTTTACATTGGTGGTGTGGATTATCTTCAATATGGGATTTTTGTCTGTTTTCAAGCTAATGATGGAAATTGGCCAATACTTAAACAGAGCTCAACCCCTGTGGTAAAACCCCCTCAGATTTCCAACACAGACTGGAAAGAATCAAGCATGGATACTGCTTTAAAACAAGGAACTATATCCAGCCAACCTTTGCCGACTTCAGTATTAGGAAGCACGGATAAGCTGGTGGGTTTCATCTGTGATACGTTTATAGATCTGTTTGGTTGAAATTATGAGCCTTTGGCTTCCATCACTGAACTCTCTTCAGTTACATACACATTTTCCCACCTGATGATTGTTTAAAAAGTCAGAGAGAAAATGACCTCCTGTTCCTTTCTGTTCTTATCACATTACAGTATTTCTTCCCAACTTCTGTAGTTTGCCTTCCTTTCTGTTCTTTTACATATCTGATCTCCCCTTTTCTCTCCCTTTGCTTCTCCTAAACATGTCCCGACACTCCTATTTCTCTAATCCAAATCTTTGTTACTGTTTTTCCTTGGTGTAGATTAACACTTTTTCAATGTGCCTTTTTTTTCCCCCAAAAAATCTCACAAAAGATGTTATTAAATCCATCCTTGAGTGAGTCCACTGGTGTCTGTCTGCACTGCTGGTCTAGTACTTTATGAATTCTTTAGGACTGTAATCTTTAAAGCATAAGGACCTTGTCTTTAAATAGTTTTGGTTAACTCTGTTATCACACTATATATTAGTGTGATATATTATCAGCTGCATCCTGAGATCCAGAACCTAGAACGAGTTATTCAGGCTTTGGGATAGATTTGGATTCATGTTAATGTTTTCTGGCCAAAGATGCCTTTAAGGAGCGGCCTCTGTCTGGCATAGGATGGGGCCTTCTGATAAATTTGGATAGAATCGTATCTGATGATTAAGGAACACCCACTGTTTATATTGACTCTCTTGCCATCACCCAGATTATTGGCATGTTTTGTTGAATAAGGAATATTCTTGTTCCCAAGTAGTTTATTTAATTACATGGTATACACATTTCTGTTGTTCTTGCACAGGGTCTTGACCTGGGGAAGGTGCCACCAACAGTTCCTGGTGTAAGCAAGCAGTTGCCTCAAAACTACGGGACCTATCCAAGTCCAGTTCCCTTAGGAACAGGTTCTACAAATTCTCTAGAAAGAAGGAAGGATGGCAGTCTGCCCAGACCTGGCACCAGCGTAACAAATCGGCAAAGACCTGTTCCGCTTCCGCCGCCAAGCAACGTACACCAGCCCAGCTCTTCACAACAGATCCAGCAGAGGATTTCAGTACCTCCCAGCCCTACGTATCAACCCTCCGGTCCCCCCTTGTTTCCAGGAGGAGATGGCAGGCCAGAACTCCCTTTAACTGTGGCAATCAGACCTTTTCTAGCTGATAAAGGATCAAGACCTCAGTCTCCCAGAAAAGGGCCACAGACCGTGAACTCCAGTTCCATCTACTCAATGTATCTTCAGCAAGCAACACCACCAAAGAATTACCAACAAGCTGTATACAATACCTTAAATAAGTCAGTAAAAGCAGGTAGAACATATTTTGCTTTATTTTTGCCTTTGAAATGGACTGTTGAGATCTACCTACTGGGCTTAGTTTACTTTCTGTATCAGGTTTAAAAACTTGTCTAAATCTGTGAGAAGAGGAAAGATTGTTTCATGTATGCAGCGTGGCAGAAACATTATCCCATGTACTTTTGGGATTATAAATAAGTATACGTTCAATTACCTTTTATTTAAACGAAGATGCAATTAGTACAGGCTGGATACTTTCAGAAATAAGTTGAAGAAACAGTGTCCAGAGAGGAGAGTTTTTCTCCTCTTATTCTTTCCTCATGAAAGAGAAAAAACATTCCAGGTATTACTTGTAGCTTATACTTGTAGGATGCATCACAGTCGCCAACAGGTGAGTGTTTATTTCTGGTTTGGTAGGTTGCAATATCATTAATTTGGTTTTTTTTCTGTCTGTATCAGTGTCAGGTAGCAACAGAGACATACACTGTTTATTTGCAAGTATTTTATTATGTACTTTGAGAACAGTTCTTCACTGTTTTCCATCTTTCTTTTCCTCAGTTTATGGAAAACCCGTATTACAGTCCGGTTCAACTTCTCCCTCACCCTTGCCATTCCTTCATGGTTCTTTGCCTGCCCAGACTTCCCCTCAGCCACAGTCTCAGCCTCAGACTGAGGTCCCTGAAAAAGATCAAGAGCTGGAAAATGCTCCACCACCCAGTGAAAACAGCAATGTGGAAAACATCCCTCGTCCCCTCAGTCCTACTAAGCTCACGCCTATTGTGCATTCACCCCTACGGTATCAGAGCGACGCTGACCTCGAAGCGCTGAGAAGGAAACTGGCCAATGCTCCTCGGCCACTGAAGAAGCGTAGTTCTATCACTGAACCAGAAGGCCCAAGTGGACCAAATATACAAAAGTTGTTGTATCAGCGCTTTAATACTCTTGCTGGAGGAATAGAAAGTGCTCCTTTCTATCAGCCAGGCAACCCACAGGACTTCATAGGCATCTTGGCTGATGTTGATAATGGCAACGCTAGTACCAACGGCAACATTGAAGAGCCTGTTTCTGTGCAACCTACAGTTCCTCTTCCTGATGAGCCACCCCCTTCGTCAGATGCCAATGACAATGAATTACCTTCTCCTGCTACTGAGGAACTGATAACCATGGAAACCACAAATCAAACACCTGAGACCACCGAAGATAACAACAACAATCCCGCTATAGTTCCTTCTACTGAACAGTCCCCCAGTCCCACGCCTGAGGTCAGTTCTCCAGTAGAAGAGGAAGCTCCTCTGCCACCTGCTGTTCCTCCTCCACTTCCTCCAGTAAGTAACAAAGCCAAAAGGCAATTTTTCTGAGCTGTATCATTAGCTGTGTGTTTAAAATTAACTGGAGGAGGGTATGCTGCTGCAAACTGCTATGTCTGCCCTTCAGGTTTCATGATACCACAAAAAACAAAACTAGGGGAGGCTCCAAGAAGGACTCGCATGGATTAGTTTCTTTGCTAATATAGCTGGTTAATGATGAAAGCATGCACTGAGGCAATGAGAGAGGTTGTTCTTCCAGCTGTAGAACTCTTGCAGGATACACTCTTGTTGTACATTGAATTCTGGGATCTGAGATTCCATTACAATATTTTTTTCATTTCATTGGGCCTACCAAGTAACTTGTTTGTATGGGACTAAGGGTAAGCTATGGCCCTGGGAAGCGCTGTAACTTGCACACAAGCTGAAATGAGTGTTCTGGGAGATGTGCGCTCCTTTTCCCCCTGACAGAGAGATGTGAGGCCAGGGCGGCCAACGCTAACAGCAACACAGCTGACTCGTTAAAAGAATGTTTTTCTCATGGGCTTGTCGCATAACTTGAATTGCTTTCAGAGTCCCTCCTACAGCTGCAACAAAATCCTTCCAATACTTGACATTATGAAAAACTGCAGCATATGGAGAATTGGAAACAGGAGGAAAACTGGATTTTATTCTTAGTTGTTGCTATGACTCACTTGAACATTGGTTTCAAAGAATATGTCCACTTTCTGATTCACGCAGGGACCTGGCATTGCTCTTACGGCTTGACTGCAGCGTACACAGGACCTTGTATGCATTTTCCATGAGCGCAAGCTGGCCAGGATATTTCTGGGAGAATGGAATATGCTAGCAATAGATATTATTCTTACTGAGAGAGGTTTATTTTCCAAACGGAAATAGCCATACTAAACAGGAGCTTAAATGAGAATGGATCTCGCAGTGCTAGAGACTAGAAGCTCTCTAAAAGCTGTCATTAATAACAGATGCTCTTCTGGAAAGTGACAAGGACACATGTTCTGAGAATGTTCTCAAAACACATTTAAATACATTTCAGATCTTGAGAATGATTCTTCTGATAACCTCAGCTAGAACGACATGTAAAAGAGCCCCCTCCATGGTCTGTACTTTTCTTTCCCACGGCAAAACTCGTCACTTTTCCGTACTGACCTACAGCAGGTTCTTTGCTAATGCAAGGCAAAGATCCCTCTGAGTGGAGGCTGATCCTCAGGCTTGACTGTGTCACGCTTTCTGGGCTAAGCAGAAGTTCTGACAGTGTCTCAGCCAATCAACCAGAAATACATTCATCTTCTGTTGGACACAGTTTAGATTGTGGCACTCAAAACCCACTGACTTAAGTACTTTGTTCCTTGTACTCACCACCTTTTAACTAGAAGCCTCTAAATTATATTGGGATGTTTTTTCTTTCTCTTTTTTTTTAACTGAATAGGATTAGTAAGATATCAAGCCTTTTTTTTGGAGACTTTATAATAGAAATGTTGGCTTAGTCCTCACTACCATTTAAGGAGGATGGGCTCCTTAATCTAGTTCAAAGTAACTGAGTTGTCTGTAATACTTACACAACCTGAAGTGATGCCTTTCAACCTTCATCTCTGCTCAGACAAAACGTACCAACTTGAAGAAGCCGAACTCGGAAAGGACAGGCCACGGTTTGAGAGTGAAGTTCAATCCATTGGCACTCCTCCTCGATGCTTCTTTGGAGGGAGAATTTGATCTCGTGCAACGAATCATATACGAGGTGAGCTGCCAAACAATGGCAACCTCTTGGAAGATTTTGAAAAGGAAAAAGAAAAGCTGAACTAATTCCTGATGTTTTCAACAGGTTGATGATCCCAGTAAACCGAATGATGAAGGAATCACACCTCTGCATAATGCCGTGTGTGCTGGTCATCACCACATTGTGAAGTTCCTGCTCGATTTTGGTGTAAACGTAAATGCAGCAGATAGTGACGGATGGTAGGTGTCAAGATTTTTAACTTGGCATTTGGGAGAAACACCGTTTGGATGCACATTCAAAATTTAACCAAGACCTGTTTGGGGAACAGTTTCCTTCCCCTTTACCCCAGCAGATAAGCACTTTATAGTCTGTAGGCGGTGATGAACTCTAATCATAGAATCACAGGATGGTTTGGGTTGGAAGGGACCTTTAAAGCCCATCTAGTTCCACCCCCCCTGCCATGGGCAGGGACACCTTCCACTAGACCAGGTTGCTCAAAGCCTCGTCCAGCCTGGCCTTGAAGACATCCAGGGATGGGGCATCCACAGCTTCTCTGGGCAACCTGTTCCAGTTCTTCACCACCCTCTTCGTGAAGAACTTCTTCCTGATATCTAATCTAAACCTCCCCGCTTTCAATTCAAACCCATTACCCCTTGTCCTGTCACTGCAGGCCCTTGTAAAAAGTCCCCTCCCAGCTTCCCTGTAAGGCCCCTTCAGGTACTGGAAGGCTGCAATAAGGTCTCCATGCGAGGTTACACTGTGTTCAGCTGATGTACAGGCATGCCGACACCATGAAGTATACTGCATTTGGGGTTTACTGTGATAGAAGTTGCATTTCTTGTTCACATGCTGAAATAACTGTGAACTGATAAAAGTTGTTTCATCTTCACGTAACCCACTGCAGACCCCAGTGTTCTCGACAAATCTAGCTCTAGATGCAGCACTTCGAAGCACTCAGAGGGTAGTGAAACCTCGTTGTGCTGATGTCTTTTGCCCTCACCTTATTTTACCCTTCAAACTCCCTCCTATTGGCAAATACCCTGTGATACCCAGCAGCTTTGTAAGCTACGAAAATGGACATTTTTGCTAACATGTGTTTTATGATGTTTGGCTTTACTGGGGTCAGGTAAATGCTGGAATCCACTCTTGTCGTTTGACAGGTCTGGAACAGCTCACACATATACTATAATCACAAAGAATTATTTCCTTTAAAAACAGACAAGCTAAACTCTATATTGGAAGACAAAATTGTTAGGATCCCTGGAAGTTTGGTTTCTCATGTGTACATTTTTGCTTTATTTCAGGACACCCTTGCATTGCGCCGCTTCTTGCAATAGCGTTCATCTCTGTAAACTACTGGTTGAATCTGGGGCAGCTATTTTTGCTTCCACTATAAGCGATATAGAAACTGCTGCAGACAAGTGTGAAGAGATGGAAGAAGGTTATATTCAGTGTTCCCAGTTCCTGTACGGTAAGCTGTGCCACCACTTCAACTTGTTCAGCTTTTCTAATATGTGTCCCTTTCTGCGTCTGGTCTGCATGAAACGCCTTGACAACACTGCCCATCTCCTCTGCTTTCAGAGGCCTAAAAACAGAACAGGTCCTTTCGTTACTACGTTGCTCATAGTCCTACTGTTCCTCTGAGTTACTTCACGGGCTCCTTCTAATGTTACAGATTTTAAAAGTTTAATTGGCTAAATTTCAAGGAAATATTTTCATGGGGAGGTTTTGACAGTGAGTTGTCAAGTATCTTGACAGATACTCCAACTTCCAGATGCACAGATTTGTCGCAGATCACATGAAGAAACACACATACTTCAAGAATAATTATTCAGTTACTGAGAGATATCTTGCAAAAAAGTTACCTTGATGGAGCAGACAAGTTTTTAGGTTACATCAGAGGATACAAGCTTCCTTAAGGTTCTGTATACCTGACGTTGTGCGGGTTTTCAGAGGCTTCAAGTGTGACCGCATAAGGCAGAAACCCACCGCAGCCTCCAAAGCTGCTTTGCTCAAACATTCATTCAACTGGTTTTGTCCTCATTTGGATAAAAGTGAGATAGCGAAGTTTCTGTCGCATATGTCATAAAAGAGAAAAAGGTGACACTCTAACTTGGTTTTAGATATTCAGTAAAACTTGGGTTACTCACACAGTTAAAACTCTGAAAGCATTTAATTACGAAAGTGCTGAAATTTGATAATGTTATTAATAAGAGACTAATAGTTGGGTCCCAACTATTTCAGTGTCCATACTGAAAATCTCAGAGGGACAACCAGGCTATTTTTCCATCTAGTGTGTTCCCTTGATTTGTTGTTACCAGGAGTGCAGGAGAAGTTGGGAGTGATGAATAAAGGAATGGTGTACGCTCTATGGGACTACGAAGCCCAGAATAACGATGAGTTGTCGTTCCACGAGGGCGACGCCATCACTATTCTAAGACGCAAGGATGACAACGAAACGGAGTGGTGGTGGGCCCGCCTCAATGATAAAGAAGGCTACGTGCCTAAAAACCTTCTTGGGGTAAGTGCCATTCTGTTTTTAACTTCCACCTGAAGTAGGGACAGAATCTCGCTGTGCATCACCTGGATACGCTGCCACGGAGTGCTGCAGAGCAGATCATGCTTACTCTCTCTGAACTCTCTGTCGTTGTAAATAAAAAGGAGAGGCTGTGGTTAGGAGATGAGTGCTGGTTTTGATTTGGCAAGTTTGTATATCGACTATATCTTGTGCTTTAATCTTTAAGATTTTCTTTGCCCCTTGGCTAAAACGTAGGGCTGCTGCACAAAGCGTGGTGGCTCCATTGGGCAGCTCCAAGCCTTGGCCCAGAAGTGTTTTAGGAAGGTTTTCAATACCTGGCATGAGATAAGCAACATATAGATAAGTACAAATTTAAAGTAGTGAAGGACATAGACCGGTTGGAGGGAGTCCAGAGGAGGCCACGAAGATGCTCAGAGGGCTGGAGCACCTCTGCTATGGGGACAGGCTGAGAGAGTTGGGTTTGTTCAGCCTGGAGAAGAGAAGGCTCCAGGGAGACCTTATAGCACCTACCAGTTCCTGAAGGGGGCTACAAGGAAGCTGGGGGGACTTTTTACAAGGGCCTGTAGGGATAGGACAAGGGGTAACGGGTTTAAACTGAAAATGCGGAGGTTTAGATTAGATATCAGGAAGAAGTTCTTCCCAGAGAGGGTGGTGAGGCACTGGAGCAGGTTGCCCAGAGAAGCTGTGGATGCCCCATCCCTGGAAGTGTTCAAGGCCAGGCGGGATGAGGCTTTGAGCAACCTGGTCTAGTGCAAGGTGTCCCTGCCCATGGCAGGGGGGTTGGAACTGGATGATCTTTAAGGTCCCTCCCAACCCAAACCATTCCATGATTCTATGAAGGTGACAAGTTCAGGCAAATTGTTTATGCTGCGCTTGGTCAAACGGAACCCTGCTGTCTTGAGGAACATGAGGCTACCAAGTGGAGAGAAACAGAGGACAAAGAGAGCAGGAGAGCGGTGTGCTCTAAGGCTCAACAGGGGATTCTTGTACTCACAGAACAGCAGCCTTTGGTCTGGTCTGGGAGCTTGAGCTAAATGAGCCAAACCCTTCCAGAGCAGCAGTTTTGCAGCTGTTGGCAGGAGTAAGTCAGCCCTTGGCCTTCTCCTGTACCTTGGTTTCATTTTTCAGAAGTTACCCAAGAACAAGCTGTAGCTTACAAAACTCTTCGCTCCCCAAACCACCTTGCATCACCCCGTTGTTGTTAATAAGTACCCCTTGGTTATAATTGAATTGATTCATGTTTAACTCGTTGTCAGCCATGCAAAGTCTAATACGTTTGTTCTGTTTTTACAGTTATATCCACGAATAAAACCTAGACAGCGAACCCTTGCCTGAATTCAGTTGTCCAAGAGTGCAATACCGTGCTGGTAACTGGAAACACAAAACATACACTGGAGCCATCGTTTTTGATCATTTCACACAGAGAAATAAAACTATGCTATTTAGTTTTAATGGTGCTTTCTCTTGTTAAATGGACAGCATCCAAGATTTTCCAAGATCTGCAGTTTGTAAATGAGGATCATTTTTATGTGACCCGCCACTGATGAGGAGAGCGATACCTCCACTACCTGCAGTGTTGCGCTAACTATCGTCTGAAGCGGTGTTCTAAGTGCAAAGTTCCGTGGTGGGAGCTTTCGTGTGTTAGATGTTCAGAGGTGTCACTTGCGGAGTGCAGATACGCTGTCCAGTTTGCTCCAACCCCACAGTAACTGTCCCACGTCAGGGTTTTGGCTATTCTGTTCGATACCAGTGAACGTTGAGTTCTCATTACTGATCAACTTTTTGGGTTCTAGGATGTGAGATCTTCACCTGTTACGTGCATCATTAAGTAGTCACCAAAGCTTTGTGAAGGCTAGGATTTTACGGGGTAACAAACCCCACACTTAAATCCTAGTCTAGACCACCCCAACGAAAGCTTTACGTAGTCTAGCATCTAGTATTATTTGTGTTTAGATTCGAGCTAGAGAACTAACAAAACAACAGTATTTGTACACTTCTCAAAACCCCTACACCCTATTTCACTTGGTGTTTTGTTTTTCTTATTATTCAGCCTACAGCACCAGTGTTATCTCCACTAAGGTAAAGGTTCCCCTACTAACCACCTGAGTGTGTCCGTTCCGGACAGAGAGTCGTTCGCACCAAACTTGCAGCAGCTTAAGGGACCGGTACGTCAGCGTGGATGAAAGTGCAATAGTTGAAAAGGGTAAGAGTCCGGTAAGGGTCACATGGTGTAGTCTGCAGTCTGCCTGAGTCAGCCTAGAAGACGGTGTGAAGGACGGGATAGAAGTAGGAAGCGGGTTGTGTAGAAGCTGAGTCAAGGAAGAAGAAACAAGGGTTAGGGAAGGATTTAAGAAAGGCAATAGCTTATTCGAGGACAGTTTCTGTGGTTCTTGGCAGCCTACACCTGTTGCCGAGGCAAGTTATGCAATAACCTAATCCACTACGGTGTAGTTCCAGGCAAATAAAAAAAAAAAAGGAAAAAAAAGCACTTCACTGGAATTTTAATTGTACATGATTTTATATACCAAAAGTATATTTTGAATTTCCCATTATGTTTTAGCCATATTTCTTGTATTTTTCTCCCATTTAACAGTATGCAATTTGATTAATTCTCCATGTACAAGTTCTGTGTATAATTTATATATCCATTTCTGCAGTGCTGTAACTTGCTTTTACCACAGGTTAGCATTAACTGTATATATTGTGGTGAAAAGTGAAAGGGTATTACTGTTGAAGAACTTGCTACATGAATGTGATGATTTCAAGAGCCTATGAAACACTAATTCAGAGAACGTGTACATGTGCACAATAAAGTACTGCTGAGGCATGGCTGCATTCTCCCGTTCTTACAGAGGTAGCCCCACCAGCTGTGCCTCTGCTCAGAGCCTACCGCCAAAGACTCATGCCAGCTTCCCCTCTTCTGCTAACACGAGCTT